GAAAGGGAAGTTTCCCAAACTGAAAAATCATTTTTGACCATTGTTTAATACTCAGTTTGAAAACTATATCACAAGAAAAATGGGATTCTTTCTCCCTTATGCCTTCAGGGAATGAGTAGTATTTAAAATATCTGGCTGAAATTCAAGCCTTTTTACCATGTAAATTTTTAATATAAACTCATTGACATGCTTTTTACATCTGAGGACTGAAAATGGATCTTAATGTTTAAGTTGTGGAATGGTATATTTCTTAAATGAAGGGGGAACATTTAAAAAAAATAGATTAGAATACCAGCATTAGTGAGCTTAAGGAATTTTAGTATGTAATAGCAAAGTATAGCAAAGTACTTGATTAAAAAATTAATCTTGAATTGCTAGTCTGTAACTAGGTGCATTCTAATTTAGCAGGTGAATATTCTTTACTTATCGATATATGATGGGCTTTTTGCAAATAGAAACCTTTATCTGAGTCCCATGTGTTGCTTGTACTGATGGGATGTATGCTTACAGCAGCTTACTGCTGCTTTAAAATGTATAAAATATGTTTTGAGTGTTTGCTCATAACTCTTTCTAACCTCCACTTGTTAAATTGTCAGACATTGGTATTTTATCAGTCCGCAATATAAGTTTGAACTAATGTTCTTAGGAATCCAACTTGTACACACACTGTTTAAAAACCCTCAGGGACAGTTTACACACTATCCTCACTCAATTCAGGTACTTGTACTCTCTTCTTAAACCTAGCAGTGACTTGTATTTTGTTTTGCTTTTCTTTTGACGTGCTGATAGCACATCCTCGATGAATGTCAACTTAAAACTCAGTTCAGGTATCCAGGTATAACTCAGCCAAACGGATTTTAAAGCTGCATATTTACTCTCCAGCACACAGTGCCTCAGACACTTATAGTGGCATTCTGTATATTCAGTTATTACTACTGAGCAGATCGTGTGGGGGTTCCTGGTATGTATTGTAAGAAATTCCTATGTATATTATATAATATGTATTATATTATATACATATATAGTATATATGTTATCTTAAACTTATATATTTTAAAATGCCACTACTAGCCAGCGCAGCTAAAAACAAAATACATTCCCAACTGCCTCTGCGAACTGCAGAGGCAGCTTCTTAACGTGGCTCTTGCTTCTCTCTCACCATAACTACTTCTAACCTCAAGCACGGGTCCTTGGCTGTCTGACCTCTACACTCTAGTTATGCAATGTCCTTAGAGAATTCTGTGCACTGGCCACTGTGATGGAAACCAATGGGCCGGGAGTGCTTTGAGTTTATTAGTAATTGTTCTGCCAAAGTTGGTGTTTGTATGACAAGCGTGTAAACCTGTCAGATAATCAGCAGAGGTCCAAGTCGGTAACGGTGTGCATAATCGCTTCCACCTAATTGGCAGGACCAGACCCTCAGCAGGTGCCTCCTCTCTGATGCTGAGCACTGATTCAGAACGTGTTGGCACTTAACATCTGTAGTGACAGGCCCCCGTGCCGCGCTCGCAGGGAGGCGGAACCTTAAAGTAAAATCTGCTGCTCTGCTCTCGCAGTGATCTGTTGGCAGTTGCAAGTCAGCAACACCTCTGCTTTATTATTTGACACTTTACATCTAAAAAGTCTTCTCTTTCTATTTATGTAACCCATAGTCTTTGAAGAGTATGGAAAATGGCATTTCTCTCTGACCTCTAGAAGTTCAAGTGTCATGGGAAAAAAAAAAAAAAACAGGAACCCCCCCCTTTACTCTTATGGACCTCATTTCAATATACTGTTTACAGTTTGACGGAATTGTATAATTTAATATTTCTCTTGTACTGTAGTTTATATTTATTTACAGATTTTTTTGTACTGTGTGATTTGAATTTTTGTTCCTTGCTATGATCAATGTTTTATGTAGTAGAGCACTTATGATCACAAATTAAGGTTTTTGGTTTGATTGCACTACATTAATTTTTTTAATGCAGTTCTGATTTTTTGACTGGACTAAATAAGCTGTGTCTTAATGTATGTGATAAGTACTTTTAAATTTTTATTTCATGTGGTCCATTTATTTTTTGCATTGTATGTCAAAGCGCTAATTCTCTTGTTGTGCATGTGTAAGATTTAATGGCTCCATTGTATTATTTGACCATGTCATTTTGGAAACACATTCCCAGCTGTAACGTTGTGTATGGTAGTTTTCACTGGATGCTAGACTTTTCAAAACCACTATTCTTCTAATAAATTTTGTTGTGAAAAACTTGAAGGGGTTCCAATTCTGTTGTTTCTAGTGTGCTTTCTAAATGCCTGCACTAATCACCTAATATTATGAAATGCAAATTACCACCAATCGAGAGAAGCAAGTGAGGAAGTAAAAATAGAAGGTAAAGCAAATTCTGGCTGAAGGATCAAGCGTTGGAGCCTCCATACTCCATTTGTTTCTTGTCTTAAATAGGATTGGCGATAAAGCAGCTTTAGCAGCTGGGCAGGGAATACATGTGAAAGCTGAAACGCTGTCTCATAGCAGCCCGGTCTCGTGAACTCCCGTACTCTTAATTTGCACTTCCCTGCTGGCCACCTTAATTTCTTTCATGGTAAATAATTTATCCGGTGAAGAACAGTCTCTCGGGGTGGGGGTGGGGAGGAAGTGATGTAGGCTTGTTCATTGAGTACTCAGTAATGAGTCAAGGTAGGAACAGGGGTCATAAAATCCCAGTGGGGACCCTGGCCCTCACTCTGGCTGGGCTTGGCTCCCGTGTGCCAGGGTGGGTGCCACCCCGAGCACCTGGCACCTCCACCAGAGGAGACGGGCCTGGCCTGGGGGGTTGCTTAGCTGCTTGCTTGCACCAGTAGGCACTTGGTGTTGCTTTTATTCTGTGGCCGCCAGCTTTCCTTCTGCAGAGGGAGCAGGTCCTCAGCTTCTGATTAACTTATGGAAAACTCCAGCAACTCAGTCCTGCTGCCCTACACGGCAACACAGCGACCGCGCTTCAGCTGGCCCTGGTTTGAGACCCACGTTTACTTTCTCGCAACTGTGCTTTGGGTTGAACTACTTCTGATGCTATGCATTATTGATACCGAAATGCTGAATACTAAAAAGTAGGTTACAGTAAGTAAGTGGTGTATAATGGAACCCATGTGAGTTCAGGCATCTCTGCCAGCCTTCCTGTTCAGTCCTAGGATGATTTGGGGAGTGATGCGTAGGGATTTCCTAGCTTTAGGAAGATTTATAGTGCTGCACAATGTTTAGCCCGGGTTTTTTTTCTTCCCTCTTGAGAAATTATTTTCTCAGCTTGTGTTTTAAAAAGTAGGTAATTTAGGGTTCTCATTTGCTAACAGTGCCTTTTTAATTTTTTATTTTTTTTAAAGATCCTAAAATAGCTGTTACCTTACAAACTATCGAGTTCCCTGAATACTAAAACTGGTATTAAAGTGAAGTGGTGAGGTAATTAGGTGTTGTAATTGGTTTAGCTTAACCGGGTAAATCTCTTTTAAATAAAAAAGTTGGTTTGACTAGAGACTACATCTTGCACTTACTCAGGAATTATGTGTAAATAGTTTGAGAGCCTTGTGCTGTAAACTAGCATTTAGATTTTTTTTTCTTTATGTCTGAATACATCTGTCAAATCTATGAAAATAGCCTTTGAGAGTGACAAACCATGTTCCCATCTGCTATTCTTTAGGATGTATTACACCCTGCAAGCTTTTCCCAGAACATTTTTAATTGACACTTCTAGTCCTGTGATTATGAGAATCACCAAGCTTTTTTGACTTTCCTGTTGGACTTGCTGGTTGTCTCTCACTGTTAAGCTGAAGTTGTTCAGACTTAAAGAAACACAGTCTCATTCTCTTAAGCTGTTTTTTGTAATATGTATCCTGATGAGGGTGCACAGGATGTTGCGCCCAGACTCAGAAAGAAGCAACTATTGTTGCTATTGCAGAAGCAGAAAATAAACCTAATTACCCTTTTAGGCATCTTAAGAAGTTTTCTGCTAATTGCCTCAGTTTGTTTTGACTCAAAGTGGGTTTTGAACTGCTCTATTTGTTATTGGAAGAGGAAGGTGCCTCTTCTGAATCTGTAGGAGCATATCTGGTCACACCTTCTGAAGTAATGGATCCTTCATGGAATAGCAGTGGACTGTGCCCTGCGTACACCTGGGTCACTTTCTACAGTCTGGATACTCCAGCAGATGTGAAATGGGAGGCTCTGCTGATTGCTCTCTTGTGGAAATGTGTGTATCTGTGAAGGGAAGGGCAGAAATCTTCATGTCACTACCTTCAAGTCTTGGGATTAATATTAGACCTGAAGGATCTGCAAACTGCTGCTGCATGTGCTCTGGCAGATGCCCAGCAATGGGTACTGGCTGAACTGTGATTTTAACCAGTAGTGAGTAGCCAGTTATTGGACCTTTTTAGAAATGTGATTCATGCACAGAGGTACAGACCAAAAGCAATTTCAAAAACGAAACTTAAGTGTTAGGGGCAAATCCAGGAATATGGAGTTTGATACAACGAAGGTGGCAAAGAGATAAAAGTGAAAGTTGATATTTTTAATATAGTTACTCTCAAGACACTTTAATAGATGTTACACTGCTGGAAGGATCCCTAGGAACACTGTTTGTGGGAGTACTCTTTACCCTGATGCTGGTACCTTTGATGCAGCCTCCATGACTTAAAATCCAAGATGTTCTCAATTGTCAAGTAGGAAATTGAGAAGAAATCTGAATTACTTCACGGTTGTGAATTGTGAATTATTTAAGTTCCGTCTTGCCCGCCTCCCCAGAAATCCTGGACAGCACGACCTTTAAAAGCTCTCCTTTAGTGTCATGAAGAGGCAGCACAAAACAATCGCTTCTTGTTTTTACAGGCCACTTTTAAAGTATTGGAATTTACAGGCTGTGTTTAAAAAGAAAATTCTGAAGTCTTCTCTTACCTCCTCCTCCGCAGGTGTCACGCAGCTCTGCAGGAGCTCTGCTGAGTACACACTTGACTATAAGGCAGATTTTTGTAGGAGATGGATACAGCTCAAATCTCTGGGAATTATTTAAAAGGTCGGCTAAAACGTTGAGTGCTTGAGGTATATTTCAGAGTGTAGAACTTTAAGCACTGCTGCCTGAAAATGCAAGGGTTGCCTGTATGAAAAATACAGCTGTATCTCCCCAGGGGACCCACCAGGGTGTTGGGCTGCGACCTTGGGCAGCGGCTGTGGCCGGTGCAAGGCTGCCCTGGATCAGCCACGCGTGTCTCCCAGCCTGTGCTGTGGCTCCTGCCTTGTGTCCCTTGCTGCTGTTCCCTGGGCTTGCTCAGTCACAGCTTGTGTGCCTAAATTTGCTGGACTCCTGCTTCCAGCCTTGTGCCAAAAGGAAGAGTGGTTTGTCTGTACAAGGTTATCAGGAAACTGTAAGAATTTGAGTGTTAAATAGGCAGTTTTGTTACACCTGCTAAGGCGTGGGGGTTATTTTTGCTGACGTGCACCAAGATCCCATCATGTGTCCCCAGTCCCTCCCGCCCAGCTAATAAAGCATAGGGCTTGCTTAACTTGTTTTGGAATGACATTCCTAACTTTGAAAGGGGTTTTTAAGGTTTCCTTTCTTGAAGCTGAGCCTTTGACTGTGCTTTTCTTCTCCCTGAGCTTTAAGAGGAAGGCTTTGACACCAATTGTTGAAAGTTGCTCTGCAGGGATAGAGCTGACACCTGGAGAAGCTGAACTGCTTTCCCACCCATGTGAAGTGGTTTTCATACAACTGATAGGTCTGCTGGGGCCCTTGATTGTAATCCAAGCCTGAGGTGCTTGCTTGGAGACTCCAGTAGTTTCCAACATGTTCTCATTTTAGGTGAAGGTGGTGGTATATTTTTTCATGTTCTCAGGTGTGCTGTGCTCATGTTGTATCTTATTTGGATTTCTTTCAGGTCTTTAAAGCAAGTAGTATTGTATGAGGTGTAGCAATGATTTAAAATACACTATTTGACTTTTAAAGAATACTGTAAAAAAAAAAAAAAAAAAGAAAGAAAATGCTGTAGGGTTTTGGTTTTGCCTAAGAAGCTTTCGTTAAAATATACTGTGCTTTTATGGAAATACAATTTTTGCTCTGATTTCTAACTATCAAATAGTCTGAGATGCAAACACTCAACCAGCTTGCTCTGTACCTGAAGTGTGTTCACTAATAACAAAGTTCTTGTTGGACCATGGTGGCAGCTACCTTACCTCACTGACTCTAGAAGTTTGCCTAGCTGTAAGTCAGTGAGCTGATACCTAAAGAAAAGTACATTTTTCCTCCAGTTTCAGGACCTGTGTTGCCTTTATACTAATAGGCACGGTAAGGATGACTGCTTGACTGCTCCTGAATTCTAGCCTTCTTGCCTATTCCTGTTTAAATCCTATGCTAGTGCCTCTACTTTTGTTTGTAGGCTGGATTGCTAATTGATAAAAGCAATATCTCTGGATTTAAAATAAATATGCCTTGTGTCTCCATTAATGAGCTTATTATTAAATGAGGAATAATATTTAGTAGTAAAGCTACTTTTACTACTAAGTAGTAAAGTCAGTGTAACCTAGCCCAAAGTGACAAATGTAGTAGCTTAGTACTGGCAAAGAACAGGTTGAGGAGGTTTGAAATTTGGCTGTTTCATGTTCTTTTTAGCTCCTGAGAAAAAAGAAAAAAAAAAAAAGTACTTTCCTCGTGAGATTGTAGGAATAGCGAGGCCTCCAAAGGGCAACAGGGAATCTGGCACTCAGACTTTTAGGGGTCAGAAATCCTCACGGTGTATGTGGTTTGGGCTCTTGGCTTTGCCACCTGAATGTGCGAGTTGCTGTGAGGAGTGGGGGTTTCAGAGGGGGTTTTGCTGCAGTTCTTGGGGCTGGTCCCAGTCTGTATTCTTCTGGCCATATAAAGCGTAATAAAACTGCCAACATCCCATTAGTGCTGTGGTCTCCTTACCACCGTGTGAGTGAGCGTGAGTTCATTCCTCTGAGCTTTCAGGGTTGGCCTAGTGCACTTAGTGTTAATAGGATAAAAAACATCTGTGGTAGAGAAGATCCATGAGTGCTTGATGGGCAGCCTGTGCTAATGGGCCATCATTGCTTTAGTTTCCTCTTCGAAGGTTAGGGATTCATTTTCCTGCTGGTGGGAGAAGCAGGACCAGGGAGGTTGCGGAAGTCAGAGGGAGGCAATCTGTGGGGATCTGCCCAGCTGTGGTGCTTGCTCCTTCCTGCTGTGCATGAGGAGTGATGAGTCACTTTTGAGTTTGTTGTTTGTTTGTTG